GTAATGCTGGTGGTCTCTTTGATTTTTCTGACTATCTTTATGCATAAACGTCTAAGTAGATCCCATTCCATTCTGAAATGAGGACAGATTTATTGAGAAATGGTAACTACCTATGGCCGGCAGACTGCAAGAATGATTGCGCTGAATTCGCGATTGCCATGCTGCGATCACGATTTATTCGCTATTCTTCTGCTGTTGTCTAATAGAAGTCGGGGATGTCATGCCGCAAGCGTGCGTTCTCGCGAATTGCAGAAAGTCAAAATCTGCACAAGTTCTTTAAAGATTATTGAAATTTCTTGATCAAGATTTACTACGGATCCGAGTCTGACATATCTTCAAAATTTTGTATCAAGTTTTTGAAAAGATTTGGGAACTTTTCTGAACTCATTAATGTAATTACTAATTAGGAAAATTAGTTCCATTAGGTTAGTGAACTTAAGCAATTTGTCGCAAAAAGGGAGAACATGTTGTAAAATTCATCGCGGTGCTGATCAATTCGCACTGAGAGTGGCGCCGATTCCGATAATTTTGCTGGGAGAATAAAAGTCATTTTTCTCGGGTTCTACATCAGTTATGAAATCAGAAAGGACAGTTTCTTACGTAACTTGATGTGCTCTATAAAACTAGATTGGTGCTAAATGACGCGGAAAAACTTTTGTAAAACGTGGGACACTTCAGATGGATCTGCCCATGTTTTCAGTTTGGTTTCATATCAGTAATATGACGGTTGTAGCCGAGATACCAAACGAGAGTAACCACATGACTGCAACAACCAACCGTTTTTGGTATTATTATACATGTACAACACCATCCTTGTATGTGTTCTAATTTAGTTTCGTCAAATTGAACGTGGTAGTAGTATGTTCTAGGATTTAGGACATCTAAAGTTGCAAAAGAGGGACCTATCGTCGAGCCCATAGCCACTCCTCGAATTTGTGCATATGATATCGTATGAAAAAATATTTTCGGTTAAAATAAAAATAAGACTGTCTAGGACAAATTGAGCAGAAAAACGAGAATTTAAAACATCGGGATACTTTTGCAGCCAGAAAGAAATAGCAGAACAGCCCTCATCGTGGGGAATACAAGTGTAAAGATCCTTAATATCAAAAGAAAGAAATGATGTATTCGCATGAATAGTCGGTGGTAGTTTGTTTAAAAAGTCAAATGTGTCTTTGATATGACTTGGTATACGATTTTCATATGGTTTTAATAATTGATCAATTAATTCTGCGAGTGATTGCGTTGGACCATTGGTATTAGACACAATTGGTCGAAATGGTAAATCCGTTGGTGAGTGAATACAAATTATTATAGAATTTTGTTGTTGTTCTGCAGATGAATGAATTGATGGTAATTTATGAATTTTAGGAATGGCATAAAAAAGAGGTTGTTTATAATTGGATTTTGTGATGTAATCAATTTCATTTTTTAAAAGCATATGCTGATATTTTTTAATGATGGGTTGCAGCTTTTTACATGAATTATCGATATGATAAGTTGAAAGCTTTTGATAATGTGTTTGATTTAAAACAAGATGCAGAACATTCTGATAGTTGGTAATATGCTTTATCCATGATGACAATGTTCTTGCCTTTATCACTGGTTTTAATAACTATGGATGAATCATTTCGGAGATCTTTCAGGGCATTCTTTTCATTTTTAGATAAATTTGTTTTTGTTGAAGTTGTGTTGAAATTAGATAGGGTTTCGATCGACTCAAGCAGTTTTTCCACATTAGAATCCACATTAGAACACTTTTTGGGAAGTTTATTTGATTTTGGTTTCAAAAGTGGTGTATGTGAATGCGCAATTTGAGAAGTAGAGTCACTTGGGGTAATTATGGCCAGCACCTCAAATTTTCATAGTATTTTGAGCATATTTAAGCCATTTTCAAATGGACATAGACGAAATTGACCATGTAGGTAGACCTGACTCTTGGCTATCTGTTGATGTAAAAATCTTCTTAAAATTCATTAGCCTTAATTAGTACTCATCAATTTCCAGTCCGTAGTCATCAACTGGCCATAATTATCCCACTTGGAGTAATTATGGTCAGTCAACGTGCACCGTTGCGGTAATTATGGCCAGTCCAGCTAAAATGGCTGGAAGAAAGTAAAACAACTTTTTTTCAACGGTGAAGTCTCATGTTTTCAGTTAAAAAGTAGCCAGTTTTGTAGAGAATTTTTGGCTCTATCTTCCACATAAATCGCCAGTCTCTCGGACTTATCCCTAATTAATTAATTAGAAATTATGAAAATAAAAGACAACAGTCGTTTTTTCTATATATATGCTGTGGGGTAATTATGGCCACTCTACTATTTTTCATGGGGTAATTATGGCCAGTACGTCTGAATCACACGGAATACACAGAAAACAACTTTCACCATCTCTCAGAGGCCGATTTTGATACTATGTCAAATGACAAAATTATTTCGAACCTTGAACTTTATCACATATGTGAAAACTGGAAGTAAATAAAATATTTTTAACGATTTTTACGCACATAATGAGCATTGTCGATTTATGGCAATTTATGTGGAAGATAGAGCCAAAAATTCTCTACAAAACTGGCTACTTTTTAACTGAAAACATGAGACTTCACCGTTGAAAAAAAGTTGTTTTACTTTCTTCCAGCCATTTTAGCTGGACTGGCCATAATTACCGCAACGGTGCACGTTGACTGACCATAATTACTCCAAGTGGGATAATTATGGCCAGTTGATGACTACGGACTGGAAATTGATGAGTACTAATTAAGGCTAATGAATTTTAAGAAGATTTTTACATCAACAGATAGCCAAGAGTCAGGTCTACCTACATGGTCAATTTCGTCTATGTCCATTTGAAAATGGCTTAAATATGCTCAAAATACTATGAAAATTTGAGGTGCTGGTCATAATTACCCCAAGTGACTCTATCAAAATCTATACTGTCTATTGATGAATATGGTGGTGATAGATGGTAGTGAAAACGTACTTTTCTAGAAAAATTCAATGCTGACCAGCGTATCTGACTGTCGTTAGATCTTGGTGTAGGGTGAGGGTGATATTTGGACGACTGTTTTTTACCATGGCCGTTTGACAACGAAACACTAATTCTTTTTCAAAAACATTTAGATTTCTTAGATCCAAATCTAAACTTTATTTTAACCGGTAACGGCCAAGAAATACCATTTTTAAATGTTTTAGTAAAAAATCATCAGGCCAAAATCGAAACCGATATATTCTATAAGCTCACAAATTCTTTTCAGTATCTGCATTTCAAAAGTTCCCATCCACGTGCGACTAAGAGAAATATTCCTTACAATCTTGCCCGAAATATTTGTCTTATTGTTTCTGATCCGTGTACTCGAGTTTTACGACTAAATGAACTGAAAGAATATCTTTTAGCCCGCGGTTATCCTTCTTTACTTTCTGATGCTATTCGAAAAAGTTATGACAATGCATCATCTGCTACAACTAATCAAGTGGCACAACGGCAACGACTAGCGCCATTAACATTTGTATCAACATATAATCCAAATAATTTAGATTTATTCCCATTTATTCGATCGTTATTACCACAAGTACTCTCATCTAGTCAGAAACCACACACAGCAAATAATCATCGTCTTATACATGCGAGACGACAACCACCAAACTTGCGATCGTTACTGACCTCAATCAATTTTTATTCTAATACTCCAGTAGCACCAATTATTTCAAAATGTAATGCATCAAGATGCTTCTTATGTAATAGACTAAAAATTTCTTCTTACATAGAATGTATAAGAAACATCTTGATGCATGTAGTCTCTTACATCTCATCAATGAACATGGTCAAAAATTAGAATGCAATGCAAACATGAATTGTAATACCAAATATTTGATCTATGTAATACAATGTCCATGTTGTCCACAAACATATATTGGCGAATCTGTAGATTTGAGAGCAAGAATGCATAGTCATAAAGATTCTGTTCTACATTTACCTCATGATGCTCAAAACGTTCACAGACATATAGCTGGCTGTTCTGCTGGTGAATTCAGTGTCTTCCCCGTTTTTAAGATGAACACACAAGATCTGTTAATCAGAAAGTTGAAAGAAAAGGAATTTAGAAGAAAATATCATCCATCACTAAATCCAGACGATGAAGATTAATTGACATTTCCATGACTACTATTTCAAAAATCAAAACTCAACTAAAATGAAAAACATTTCATTTTTTCGAAAAAGTTTTTGTAAAAGTTTTAAATTATTTTATCGACTGAAGTGAGCACCAAAGTGTGTCTCGAAACGCATATCGTACTTTCTATAATTTGGTTCTATATTTGAATAAATGTATTTTCTTCTTCTCTGTTAGATATATTTTTTTAAATATTAGTATACTCTACTCACACACTGATTTAAAAATATTTTTCTCTAAAATATTATGAAAATCGATGGTTCGAGCTTTGATCGTCACTGTAGCCGTCGTGTCCTTATGTTCATAATCAAGTTTCACTTGCTCAAGTGTTTTACTTAATCTTTCTATGTCCTGTTCAAAAAAGTGACTAGATTCTGTTCTCTGGCGAAGTTCGGCCGACAGTTGGTCATATTTCTCTTTCACTTTAAGTCTCTTCTCATCGAGCAGATCTTGCACCTGTCGTCGAGCTTGTTCAACAATCATGTTTATCTTCTTAATAGTTTCTCTTTGCCATTTTGTGATATAATCAAATGCTTGGGGATCAGTGGAAGAAGTTTCGGAATATATTTGTTGGCAGAGTAAATCCCGATCACTTAATACACGTTGGAAGTCATCTTCTAATTCTTGTCGATACTCACTTATGTGACCTTGACAGAAGTTCTGCTGACAGCCTTTACATGGCAGAATTCCTGATATTTTACATGGTTTAATTGATTGGCATTTACTGCTGGATAGTGAAGAAGAAGAGGCCATTTTATCAGTGGTAAATTACTAAAATGAAAATTTCAGAACAGTATCTGTGTTAAATGAAGAAAGTTATTGTATTCTAAACTATCGTTCAAGTGCATGAGTATCGACAAGAATTATTCAATTACATGAAAATAGGCAGAAATGGGTTATTTCACCTAGTATAAGGTTTCACTAGGTTTCTGAACTTTTTTCGAAAAACAAACATCGCTACACGAATCAGCATAGTTGAAAACCTAAGTTCGCATATATTACTGAGGTATAAACCCTAAAAATGGTCGGTTCCGAGGATGCCCAGATGGTCCCAGCAAAATGCCTATAGCTACCAAACGAAAAAATAGAGGTCTCGGACTTATGTAGTTTTGTAGAGCAGATGTTGCTCACTTAGATGTAAATTTTGAACGAAAATTTTATCTGGAATTCTTTCCAAGACACTGCCAGACTCTTTTGTCGAAGAAGGTACATCATCTACAGGTGGTAGCTTTTAGATCATTTTTAGGTCATCCGATAGCCCCATGAGTTTACTTCAAAATGGTGAAAACCAGATCTCTCTAGCTCATTCCGATCAAACGTTATTCCAAAACCATCCGAGTGCTCTGCTTTTTGACTCCGATACTAATAAGTAAATCATCCGTCTTAAATTTGAGTCAGATGAGCTAAGATCGATGATCAAATTAATGTATTCGAAGAATTCGAAATGCGAGTCGAAACACTTGCACAAAAAAATTGGTCCTAAAACGCGTTTTTAACGATCCAAAAACGCGTTAAATGTTTCATTTGAACGAAGAAAAACGCGTTAAAACAGTCTTTTGAACACCTTAGTAACGCGTTCCTCTTGTGTTAAAAACGTACAAAAAAGGCGTTTTCAAACGTTGTAGAACGCGTTTCAAATGAAACATTTAACGCGTTTTTTGTAAGTTTCTAACGCAAAAGGAACGCGTTACTAAGGTGTTCAAAAGACTGTTTTTTGAAAAACACGTGAGAACGAAAAATGAAACAAACGTTATGAAACGCGTTGTGTCTCATAGAAAACGGGTCAAAAAATGGGAGTTTCGTAACGTGATTTTAAAAAACGCGTTTCTTTGCCGTTTCTAACGATTTTTGTGTGCCTGGGTATGACATAAGAAGAATTACATGAAGAAGCATTTGCTTGTAGGCCTCACTCGAGACATGCAATCAACAAAGAGAATAACGAATGAGTGAAAAACATGAAGTTTTAGCACTTAAAACATTAGCATAGTTATTATGGTACTTTTCTATGCAAAAAAACGCTAAAAGAATACAATCGTACATCTTTATTGTGACCCGTCTAATTAATAGTTTAATATGGAAGTAGCAAACATTTTGTTATTTCTTCAAAAGATTTTATTTTTCACTGTATTTGACTGAACACAACAGAACAAAAAAGACATTGTAACGAACAAAATTTACTTATCATAAGATATTGTTTCGTATAGTTCACAATATAAGAGATATTGATTAACCTCAGTAGTATCATGCAGATAAGTATGAAAAAATAGATCATCATGGAAATAACATAAAAAAAAAGAACAATAGATTTTTATTTACAGTGGCAAAAACCATCTCAATTCATTATACCATCTTATTCCTTAGATAAGAATACTGAAAGCACATAGACCGTTCTTTTGCTTATTCTACATAACAGGTAAAGCTTATCCTTTACACCATATTAAATTACTTTAACACTCGCGACTAACGTTTATCCATGTATAATTGACGCTTGTTCTTTAGAATCTATACATTGTTTACCATTGAATTTGAATCAGAATCCATTTCTCTTAAAGTATTTGCATCAGTTGTTGTCCTAGTTACAAATCTTGACCTGTACGGTTCAGAATAAAAGAAGCAACTGTTATAGATATATTCTTAACTATACATATATTAATTTACCGTTTTGTTCTAAGAAGGTTAAGTTGTCGTTCTTTAAGGATTTTGCTATCCGATAAAATATTGTTTTTTTTTGACGACCAATAAATATAATCACAAGCAACTATTATAATTAGGACGAGCACAGTGATAAGTAATAAAGCACTACATACGAGAAGATTAACTTGATCAGACGTCATTTCAGCTGTGAAGATAAAACTAAATATTCGACGTTTTCGATACATAATTGATTGATAGCTAAAAATGAAAAAAAAAATTTGACGAAACTTTTGATATGAACGATTATAACTGTCGAAAGGTATGTATGCGATAATGAAACGAAAAATAATAAAAAAACAACAACACGCAATTAGTTTAAAATTCGTTTAATGACGGACACGAAGAGAGTCATATTGTTCGTACACATTTGAAAAATATTATAAATCAGAAAAATACGAATACAACGTCATAATGTTAGAGAATTCAATATAACTTTTGTTTTAAATGAATATGACACGAAAGAATATCCAAGTGAAAAAAGATTGGAATTAAAATAGTTTAATACAGTGTTATTGTTTATGGTGAATAAACGTGGTTATTTTGGAAAACAAAAGAGATACTTACATTTAATCAAGAATTTCTTCTTCTATGTACTTGTACTATACTATTGCACTATGACAGAATGTCTTATTTTTAGCTAGAGAAAATAATAATATCGATATGATGGAAGAGATAGTAAAATAAAAATGTATGCTAATTTTGTTTATCTTTTTTTGTTGACAGGCAAATCTGTTCTACTGTCATTGTAAGCGAATGAAAATGTTTATTCTTTGGAGAGTTTCTAACACTATAAAAGACCTTTTTTAATGGAAAAAATTGTTAACATTACATATCTCAATGATCACTTAAGTCAACTATAATTAGTCTCATCGAAAAATTTGGCAAACTAAACACTAAGAGAGATTTTCTTTAACTGAAATAAAGCAACATTTTCAGGAGAGAATAATACTGAACAAATAAGATTTATAAATAAAATTAAGGAACTTTTCACAGCTTGTTTAGTGCTCTCTGTTCATTATCCTTCTACTGCAAAATAAAGAGTAGTCCTGAATTTGTATTTTTCTTTCTTGATGGAGATCTCGTAAACAGTAAACATTGATCTCGTAAATATAATCGTGATATTGAGTTATTTATCTCTGCTGTTAAACGAACGTTGTTGATGTTGGTATTGCCGTTGTTGAAGCCATTATTTCATTCCATCGATTACATTCAATCCATTGTTCATTAGACATTCTCGATGAAAATTCTGGTAATGATTCGCTATTCGTAGTTATTGTTGATGATAATGTGAGATGTTGTGGATTGTATCGATCAACATTGGTTTGCTCATATAAAAAATTTGTTATAATATTACGTGCTTGATGAATTAACAATAAAATATTATAATAAAATTGATCATTAATGATACATAAACTTGAAATAATAAATAGAACAACGCAAATGAGTATAACAAATAATACCGATAAAAACAAGCTAAAAGACATTCTTTAACAATGCAAAAGACAGTATAATAGTTGAAATAGAAGCATAGTAATACTGTTACTAGGCATATTTATAAACTATAACAGTATGCGTTATAGCAACACGTACAACACATCGCGAATTGACGAATTCATTCAATCAACATTTTGAAACTTGCTTTTTTAATTAACACATGCGTTGACTCCCATTTCACGGATACGATTATCCCTACGCAGTATGTTTATAAGTAGCTTCGGAATCATTTTTTCATATGTCACTAGGTAGCACATACAAAAAGATTGCGAAGTTTGTAGATAACTTCTTTATTACTATCAATACTGCATTTTTAACCATTTGATTAACATTCTTACTCGTAACATTCGACCATAAAAAAGACCCATCTAATCAACAGTTCAAGATTTTGTATTTTATCAGCAATTGAATGAAAATACAAAAAAAACAATTTAATGAGATTATTATACACAATACCTAGTAGAGCAATCTTCTTAACAATCGATTATCTTGTAAAGATTAACAACAGCACTTAGTAACTAATACCACTTGTTGCTATATTGTAGAATGAAACTTCTTATAAGTCTAAATATTTGTTCACCCATAAAAGGATCGGATTCATTGACTTTTCAGTTTGTCATGTCGAAAATTAACAATTGATTTGACAAAAAAATAGTATTTTAGACAATAGCCCCTTCGAAACATTTATCTTCCCTCTGATAAATGAAACCAAGATAAATCATTGAAGAAACTTACGGGTATGACCGTGTTATTTTTATTCAACTGTTGACTGCTTTTTTACTTTTCAATAACCATATTTTATTTTAAAAATTGACTTTTTTTATGCTTGAAATAAAAAAAAAATTAGCAAATAAAGTTAATATGTTCAAAACTGATATCAAAATATGCTTTATAAATTTAAAAAAACACGAGAGCGCTGAGTCTCAAAGTCTCTTTATACACTCGTACATAAGAAGAGTTAACAAACACACTTTTTTTATTGGCTAAAGTAATGTTTCAAAAGAAATAACAAAAATTACAGCACTTTAAGTAAATAAAAAAATGAACGAAAAAGTATATAAACAGGCAAATCAATAAAGAAAACAATTCTTGCAAACCGGAGACAAACTTTGCATTCTTCTAAATTTAAGATTTTTTGAAGGAAAAACAAACAAGAATCTTCACCGATGTCAAAATAAAAGCAGCCAATTTTTGATATACACAATCTAAATAAATTTCGAATATTTTCATTCTATACCAGCTGCATCTCCTACGACGAATAAAAAACATATTATTGAAACTTTAAAAATATTGAAGAAAATGAAACTAAAATCTTACCAACTGCTGCTCCTTTTCTGAAATTCTTTTTCACTTCTGGTCGAGCTAATTGAAGACGTTTTAAGAATTCGTTTGTTTTTTGTCTCATGTGAGAGTGTAGATACGCCTGAAAGGAGATTAAAGTTAATATCAAAAACTTGAGTTACGCCATTGGGAATGTGTACATGGGGAGGTGCACATTTGCCACATGTAACAAATTTTTCATTTTTTCTCTAATAAAATATTAAAATCTCTCTTCAAAAAACGAAGCGTCACACATAGTGGCGTAGCCCGGATTTTGTTAGTGGGTGGTAGACATTAGCGCAAAGTAGTGTAAATTATAAAACTTTTAGTGGGTGGGCTGAGCCCACCCGGTGGCTACGTCACAAAGCGAAAAAACTTTTTAAATGCTCTCATTTTTTTCATCACCAACTCATAAAGTTTTCTTTGTTATCTCGACTCCACTTTTTCTTTCGTCACATCCGTGGCAACCACATGCTTGGTTAAACTTACTTTACAGCATTTAATATGATAATGGAAATAGTTTCGTAATGTATGTACCAAATTTATTGTATTATCACGCGCAGCTGCTTTTGTGTGTCTTGGAAATAAGACTAAATAAAACAAAAACAAAGTACATCTTACTGGCTTGTCCAGCTAACGGTACCCCATGCATCACCAAAGTTTTCTTTGCAGTCATCTGTAAATTTGTACCGCTGACACACTCCCTCAAGTTTATTTTACACATCATACGTACAAGTATAAATGAGCTAGATTTATTCTTTAGATAAGTTTTCTTTGTAGTGTATACTTAAAACAACTTATCGGACGCAAGGAAAGGATATCATCGCGTTACCATAACTTTGATCTGTAGATAAACAATCAGACCCTTGATTAAAATTTCGATCTGATATTTCAAAAGCCCTACGTTATACCTAAAAACCATCTATTGGATATTCTCATTAATATCACCTACATTTAGAGAAAATCAGAACTCTTTAACTGCCACTGGAAAGTACTTCCATTTTTGGTCATCGCGTTACCGACCGTATCAACGCTGTACTATTTGGATGATAAGTAGTAACTCGAAATTTTTTACACCATTGATAGAAGCCATCAAGGTGTAATAAATAATAAAACATTTGCTTTTACTCCTGCCCACAAGTGTGAGAAAATAAACATTGACACTGAAAATGTGTCATTGCGTTACCTGCGAACAGGCCGTTATACAGATATACATATATTAGAGCTTCTATATACCGAATGTCAAATAACCAATATTGTCTCCCACTCTTGCATCTTTCATTTCTTTTAATTCTTCTGGTGGTGTTCGATAATTCACTAAAACTTGTGGTGCTTGTTGAAAATTTCGGCGTCTCTCTTTGAATTCCTATTTATGAGAAGAAAAAACATACGGTTGCAATACGTATTTTAGGAAAACTTCATTTTCACAAACAAACATACTTCCATAAACACTTTTCCAATAATATTATCATCAGGATCTTTGAATACTGTACTAAATATAACAATGACACGATCAAACGACGCATCAACGTACATGGTTTCATCATCACGATAATGGATAACAGCCCGTTTATGACCAACTTCTTGTTTCGATTGGAATTCAAAATATTTTTCAAATACAGCCGCAAAACAATTTCGTTTTAACATGGCCATTTTCCTCACTAATCCTTGCCAATCTTCTGTGGGTAATTGCGTATTAAAATCGATTGATAGTGTTACATTGTAGTCTTCTTCTGGAGCTACTAACAAATCGCCATACTCACGACGTAGCAGCTAAAAAGGAAGAGAGACCATCATACGACTCATTCTTAATCCTACAAAAATTGGAAATTTATTTGAATTATCATTTATTAGATTGAGCAAAAAACCCTCTTTAGTCTAGTTTTTCAAAGAATATAGCCCCCCCTGGAAATAAATGTTTTCAGTCAATTTTTTAAATTTATTATATATATAGAAATATATTTTTCGAAACGTAATTATATATTCTGGTAGCGCTTGAAATTCTCTATTAGTCTCTGCTTTCCCAGCCCGGATTCGAAATTATCTGCTGGCAAAAAGTTTGAATATTGTTAATGCCATCTGTCACATTTCCAAGAATTGTAACGGATGTGGCTTTCCAGTATTTGCTATTTTTCTCGTGTTTCTTTAGGGTTAATATACCCAAAGGTTAATATTTTTCTCAAGAAGATGCGCCACGAAATACTCTACAAAACCATACCTAAACTTTAATTTCAGAACGGCAATTAAGAAAACTACACAGATTATACAAAAGACGAAATATATGAAAACTGAAAATCTGGTCTTTTTTTCCACTTGAATCTTTTTATTTTGCTATTATTTTCGTAAAAAAGGGTTGCAAATGTGAGAATTCAGTTTCTTTTGTACTTTTGAATATGCTCTTTCTTGTGGTCTGTGAAAAAAGAAGAGTTAGTGGAAAAGTGATAGAGAATTACAAGCGATATCAGAATATATAATTACTTTTTGAAAAATATATTTCCATATATATAATAAATTTAGAAAATTGACTGAAAACATTTATTTTCAGGCGGATATAAAGTTTTATTTTATATAAATTGTGCTATACTGAAGAATTGTTTTTCTTCGCCAGCTTTTTCTACTATGTTGAGGCCTGATACATTTGTCCTTACTTCATCTGTACCATGCTGTTCTAAATCGCGAAAAAATTTTAATTTAATTGACACAGTTAATGGTGTATCACGTGAACGTTTAATATAATATAAAGCACCATCAAAATCTGAAAATGTAATAAACGAAATAACTAGATTAAAATTGTTTGTCGTCAACGATAAGATACAAATAAAATACACTTCTGTCATAATTATGTTACATTTTCTCTTAAAGAAATAATTACCATGCACGCTGTTCTCCGAAGAGGAAATGGTAAACAACCTCATCAGAAGTGCGAAATAATAAACTATAATGCTAGCGATAAGAGAGTCGATAAATTTTTAAAAAATATATTCATTTCTTACCAACAATCTTTGTCTTCAGTTCAGTAAGTTTCTCTTTACGTAAAAATGTTTCTATTTGAGTTGTTAATATTTCTTCTATTATTCGATTGTGCACTTCCAGTAGAATCATATCTTTTTAATAAGAAACGACGTAAAAATAATATTAACCTTGAATATAAAAAAAGACTCATTTAATACATAGGCATAACTAAAAGAACTCAAGAATATTAGGGTTCATCTGTCATAAATACGAAACTTCTCTGTGACGTATCAACGTACACCCGACTTAGCCAAGCGTAGAACATAGTCCAACCTTAGAGATTCTGATTTGATAATCCCACTGAAAAATATATTTTTGCTTGAAGTCCAACAGAAAAATTAGTAGAGTTTAAAGGCAACAATTTTTTGTATAAATTTAATGACTGATGCAGTGAATTTTATACGATAGTTCGACCTGTTTTCTATTAGTCATTTTCAAACTACTAGCAATACTAAAACTGACTTCAAAAACGTACATATCTGTTTCTGATGAAAAGGATAGAGATATGTAGAAGTATTTGTATATTTTATACGGATGAAATAATACTTAAAACTAAGACAATCACAAACAAACGTATTCTTTTGTCAGATTTCGAATTCTACACTTTTAAAGCGTAAAAGATAAGAGTAGATATGTGTGCACTACATGTGATAAAGACTTTACTTACTATTATGACAAAACTTAAAAAAAAAAGAAAGAAGCCCCTCACAACACTGCAAGAAAATTTAGAAAGTAATGAAAAAAACAATGAAAAAAATTTATATCACTCTGTAGCAAAATTCTACATATGTCGCTGTTACGAAAGAGTTCAAAAAAACTATCCACGTGTATCTCCATCGTTAGTGGAAGTACTAAAGTGTTAGTATTTAACAACTCAAAATTTGTACCTGAGTAATGTCACATTTATCAGTATTCAAAAACTGAAATATTGTCCCTGAGTACTAAATTGAGTACTGATATAAGTACTAAAATACTCATGTTTAAATGTTAAGCACTCATGTCATTTTTATTTATAATTACTCATTGAATACTAACCCATTAGTACTTTCACTGAAAATGACTAATTTCAATCCTCATGTCATTTAGCTATTGCATTTCATTACAGATAAATGAGCCATTCTAAACGAGCACATATTATATAAGCTCATAGGTTCACTCAGAGAAATGTATAGATGTGGAGTTATAGTCGATGAAAAAAATAGTTCGAATTTCATCTTAATTTATTTTGATAGGTACAGATAGAGAACTTTATATACTTGTGGTTTAGAAAAAACAAATGTTGACTTTTCAAATGACTCATCACTGTTAAAAAGAAACGTACGCTAGATAAAATGTGGAGAATGGAAGAGAAGTGTTATACTGGAATATTAAATATTAAAGAACAAAGTGAATTACTTTTTTCTTCTTGTCTAATCAAGGTTACCGTTTCCTATTCTGTCCTAGAGCATTGGGTATACTTTTGAAACCTACTCTGATGTGATTAAAAAGATTGCTAAAGGCAGATTTATATGCACATTTTAACTAAATTCATCTCCATCTCTGATGGATAAATGCTCGTATATAATCAGATAAAAAAGATCTGCTTATTTCATGTACTATTGTGAAGCTTGAAAGTTTTAAATTATGACTGTAATCGTCATCAGCTATAGTTCATATTGAAAAGCACATGCAAAATATATGCACGATTTTCTTTGCTCTTTTTGTTTCCACCGTTGTCTGTTCTTTACTCAAACGATCATTTGAACATTGTGCTATAGTTAATGATAATTACAGTGGTAATTCGAACCTTTTTTCAATAGAATCGAAAACGAATGATTGTTGTTTCTGTACGATTTATACAATAGGCGTGTTAGATGAAAAATTTTGTTGAACAAGTAAAAATCGCGATCCAAAGGGACAAATCTGTAAAATCCTTCTATCTTAGTGAACAGCAGTTCTGCAGAGCTGCACAACGTCTCATTTTGCTCTGAATTAAAGGAGCTATCCTATAGATATCCTAAAACTATTTTCTGAAACTTCGATTTTGGAAGGTTTTCTGGAGTTCTTCTGCAGTTTCTCCTGGAACCCTGCCAAACCTCTACGTTTGCTCAGTTTTTTAAACTCTATCTCATGATGGGATTCCGAAAATTTTAGCGTTTTTTTTCAAAACAAAAAATTATTTCTGTAACTATAGCTTGTCTGAAAACATTGCAATGTTGAAAAGACTGGCTATTTTTGAAGACTAGCGGGAAATCTGATTTACAGAACCAATATTCGTTCTTTCCTTTTAGTTTCAAATAGTAGGCACAAGCAGTCAGATTCGATGTGAATTGACGTAGATAGTCTCCTTTGAGCTAAAAGGAAACAACAAAATCATCAGTAAAGAAGTGAATCCGTTCGATTTGAGTTGATGTTGAATCGATTCTCGAATCAAAAGCTAGTATTGCATCTCAACACAACAGAGAAGATAACAGTTCTATATAATATGTGCCTTTTGTTTTCCGAACTAGATTTCTATTATTTTCAATCAGAACGTTTATAAGACTTCATGGTAATTATGTGCGACTTTTTACGTAGGTAAATTACTTTTGTAGAGAAATCCAGTCTTTATCTTCAACTCCCATTGGATAATCAAGCTTACCATAAGAATATGATCTTATTGATTGTGTACAAGTGTGGCTTTGAATGTCACCGCAATAATAAGGCTACATTAAAAAAGTTTTCTTAAAGCGCCGGCATCACCGTAAATCAGACTGATTTTGATCTTAATGAAAGAACTTTTAATGAAATCTTATCTTGATCTAGTCCAAGCTCATAGAATGGAACGGAAATAGTCTGATTTATTCACCATAAAAAGATTCTCCCTTCTTCTTGATCGTAGACGTAAGAGGAAAAGATGTGTAGAACAATTAACCAGTTAAGTAATGCTTTCACGCTTATTTTGACTCGATGAAGACTCTCACGTCAATCGAGATGCTCGTGTTCACAGGTAGATAAATCAGCACATTTTAAATTTTGTAAACATCCTTTTCAAAATTTCTCCATCTTGCAGAGGAATTAAAGAATAAGCTCTTGCTTGTTAATTTGCTTTATTTTTCAAATATGATGCCATTCGTTTAGAATTGCATTCTAAATTGTTCTTATTTTTTTTCTGTTATTCTCAATAATCTTATTGTTACAACTGTAGAAATGACAATGAATAATACAAATACGACGTCGATGAAATGGAATATAACTGCAGATATTAAGTTTATTCATGAAAAGCGAGAGTCATCAAAGCTTCCCGACCAATAATAGCAGTTGAAGCTATGAATAGTAAACAAAATAACAAAACAAGACAGTCGGAGCGCCAAGCCTAAAATGCATAATAGAATAACGTTGTCCTCAATTCAAAATCTTAAATTTTGCCCACATTATGTCTGAAAGAATGTATCTCAATCAGAGAACTTATCCCTAAAATATTTTCTTAAT